GAGCTTGGATAAAGTACTTGGTGCTGGGGGGTGAGGAAGGGGAGACTCAAAACTTTCCGTCTTCAAAGAGAAACTGCTGGTCCCTGCCTTGCTTTTTACAGCTTCTCAATTTGAATCCAGAGTTGTGAAAATGTGGAAACTGTGAAAATATGAGCTTCACTGGAAGCTGTGAAGCAGGGAAACAAATGTGGATTTACCATTTCTTTTGAATGCAAAGGTTACAGATTCTGATTGAGAACTTAATGATCTGATAAGTAACTTTCTGTCACTGCAACAGTGAAATAAACAGTGGCCAAGGTTGCAGAATTGTCTCAGTTGTAAAAACTTTTCATTTCTTTGCATATAACTTTCTGGCATTTTTGTATTTAAGGCAGAAGTTGTTCAGACCTGACCTCTTCCAAAAAGCAAATCTCACTTGGGCAAAGCCAGTTGTGTTGTTTCTGAGCCTGGTAGCGAGAGTCAATAATAATCAGAACAACATCAGCAGCAGCCGACTCCCGTTTCATTTTTTTTTGGTTTTGCATACTTTTGCACCTAGAGTGTGAAAGGTGGTGTTTTGTGCAGGGACGTCCTTGGCTGAGGAGCTGAGTCTTTACTGGCCCAGGGAAAACTGAGTTTGGTATGACTGAATTACTGGCATTTCCAGCAGCAGTGAGCAAGGGCTTACGTGTTTGATGGCTCTTTGCTAGTTTTTGAAAGAGGGGAAGCCCAGTTGTGGATTTAGGAGGTGACTTGCAAGAAGGTACCTCTGGCTAGTACAGCTCCCATGTACCATTTCTGAGGCTGGCAGATGCTGAGAATATCCATGGTTTTCCATCCTTGGTCTAGAAAACGTATTAACTGCTTTCTTGCGCTCAGTCTGCAAGTAAATGTATCCAACCACTCAGGTTACCCAAGAGGTCCCCACCCACCATGGCTACAGATAACTGGAGTGCTTCCTCTAGAATAAGTAATTGCTTCTTCCTGAAATCAAGGACAGAAACCTAACTGGTTCAGCAAGTTGTTGTATCCCAGAGCCCAGCACATCCTTAATCTAAATACAGTAAAAGGTTGGCTATTAGTAGGCAGGGAGTGTCAAGAAGAAGCAGCAGTGTTAACTGGAGATACCTGTGCTAAGCATATGAGCAGTTCACGCTCAACACAGGAGGTCATGAAGGGCAGTTAGCACAAGCTTCTGTGCATCCCTCTTGACAAACCACCCTTTTTAGTATCTTCTAAAGCTGCAAAGTGGCCATTTAAATTCCCTGCCAGGTTGGCTATTCAACACAACCTCCTTGAGGCTTAATTGCTAATTTATTTTCCCTTGTTAATGTAGATATACTTTCCTCTCAGTGTATGAAATCTAGAAGAACTTTCTGAGAACCAGTGACAAATGGGTTGGCTGTAATTGGTGTTCTCTCACTTAGGTGAGAAGTAACAACAGTTCATCAACGCTTAATTAGCTGGGACTTTCTCAAATGCAGTTTCCAGTGTTTTGACAGAAAGGTATACATCTTGTTTCTCCTGTAGTGATACAAAGAAAGTAATTTTAACTTGGGTTTTGTTACTTGGTGTTTTTTTCCTCCTGATGGCGGGTGCCACGCTGCATGTCCTTGTATTGCTGAGCAATTTATTCAGTTAGTGTTGCTTGTCACAGAGAGAAGAGCACTGATTATACAAAAATGAGACTTTTTAAATGAGCTCAATTTAATTAAATTGTGAATGCGTACGCAGCAGTGCTTGGAGGGATACATTAAGATAAGGAGCAGATATCACATCAGCATCAGACAAACTTTGTGTTTTGTATCTATAGCAGGTGAGTGCCATTCCTTTCTGTTGTATGGGTAGGAAGTCTGTGGCAACAGAAAAATGTAGCCCCCTTAAATTTGTCAGACCCAAAGAAATGTCTTGCCAGGAGACATCATCTGCCTGGCAGTTATCTGCTTGGCTTGTGAGCCCAGGAGTGAGCCACTCCAGGAGATTCTGCAGGGGAAAGGGACTATGCAACAAGAAATGGTACCATTACACAGTATCAGTCCCAAGCCAGCTCACAGCAGTGCCAGGTCAGGTAGCCAAAATTGCCAAGAAGTGGGTGGACACAACTGCTGTGCTGGGATTGGAGCCATGGCTGTGAAAGGGGACACTCCAGTGCTTTGCAGAAGCAGAGCAGTCTGTGTAGAGGCCAGTGAATCAATGTTACCAGGATAGGTACATGTGCCAGTAACACCAAGTGTTAAGTATGTATTGTAGAATTATTTGGTGTAAATGAGACCTTTGGTAAAAGGAAAGCTTTCTTCTGTGTTAGCACCCTGCAGATCACAGTGATAATTTTGTCACAAGGAAAAAATTCTGTTGCATATGCCACTGTCATTGGGACTTAGCAATGGCTGTACTTTTTGGGATGGGGGGGAGATACAAACTCCTGGGCAGGGATGAGAGGCCCCCAGCCTTGCAGAAAACTTGTCCTACCCAGCCAGAGATGTCCCCTCTGGCAGCTGGAGCAGTGGAATAGGAGTTGGGACAGGGACAGGAGAAAGGGCAAGGTTCAGATCACCCTTTGTCTTGCAGTTCAAGAGGGGAGCCTTAGTTAGCATGTGCTGCTGGTAGTTCTTGCTATGAAAATGAGGTCCTTTTAGCAAAGTACTTCTTAATGGCATCAGCTTAAGATTTCTTTCATACTAGGAGTCTCCCATTAGAAGGTAATTTTATGGGTGGCTTGGGTGCCTCCAGTAACCCATTGGCAAAGCAGCTTTGCTAGGGAAGGTGGACAAACACATGAAGATCAGTCGTTTGAGAGATGGAGGGATCCCAATACAAATTATTTTCTGCATAAGTGATTAAACCAAACTTCTACTAAGGCTCAACTTGCTCACGGCCTTTTAAAAGCACTAAAATCAAATCTGTGGCTGAAGAAAGCCAGGCTATAGATGCTTAGTATCAGTTTGTTAAAATACTGTAAGAAGTTTTTATTAGCAGCCTATGGGGCAGATGCAGGAGGTGTTTTCAGTTGCTCGATCTGCTTGTTGAGTTTTAGCTTGATTCAAAGCTGAGAAGCCAATGAGAGATTATTAATGTAGGAAAGCTTATATGGCCCTAGGTTTACTAGTTTTGAAATTTTAGAGGCATTTAATTGTAGCCAGTGCTATTCCCTCAAAAAAATACCTGGTTTAATAAAGCCTTGTACATGCAATATGCCTTTTTCATAAGCTTTTCTTTTTTACATGCCTAGCACAGTGAAGTTAATTCATATACCTCAATACATGCTGTTTGATTTTAATTGAATAACAGTTTAATTCCAACTAGAGCTTATCATACATCACAAAAAAACCCACGATAATTTAGATTTAAGGAATAGTATAATCAGGTTGGTTTAAAAAATGCCTAAAAAATACAAATGTAATTGGAATGAAAAGGATTATTTAAATATTTTTTCTTCTCACTGACTTAAATGGTGGTTAAAGTTACTTATGTAAATCAATAAATTGAATCAGGTTGGTCCTGCTATGAGTTCCCTCCTGCAGGGTCTCAGTGAGCCTGAACATAACTGGCAGTTGAGAGGATGGAAATGACTATAAAAATGTTGTTAAGGGAGAAGTTGAATCTGTCATCTTTGCCCTGCTGTATGTAGCAAGAGTGTCCCATTTCTGTCACTTCTATGACCACAGAACCCAGGGTGTAAAACCATTTAGTTTTTTATACCTAAACAAAAGCAAGATGCAAATCCAAAAAAGCAAATAGGATGAGAACCTCAAACATTATGTTGGTCTCAGTTCAAAACCACTTGAGCACAAACAGCCCTGTCTTTAAATACATAATAAGATGTTCCTGTTCCTGTCACAGCTTTTGGAATCTTGGCACATGCTTTATGGACTGTGCCTCAGAGCCAGGGTGGCTGCAATGACAAGGGCTGATGGAAGTCTCTGAAGGGTTGGCGCTGTTGCTGGTGGCAGCCCTGTTCCATTTCACCAGGGCTTTGGAAAGAGTGTGTTTGAAAATAAGCCTTGAAGCAAAGAGAAAGGTGAAAGAAAGGAAAGAGAGGTGGCTCCAACAAGGTTCACTGATTTCTCCAAAGGCAACTTCAAACTGTGCAGTGTATCATGCTCGTTTTGGGTCAGTGGGGATGACAGCTAGTCAGGGTAAGTGTGCAGCCCCAAAGAGCTCATGCCTGCAGTGACCTTGTGTCATATATCTGTGCTTTGTGCTTCAGACATGTATGTTTACTAGAGGCCTGCTGGCTTTCCCAAATTATCAGTGCCTCAGCCAGGAATGACAGCCTTCCAAGGAAAAAGGAAGTCTGGGGGAGAAGGGGAAGTTCTGTTTTAAAATTGAAGAAGTTGCAGTCTTCTCCAGAAGTGCCCTCACTTTTGTGTGGTGGTAAGAGCAGGTGATGCTGGAGAAATTCCAACCTTTGAGGTGATAAAATGGAAGAATTCAGGTTGTCTTCTAGATGAAAGCTTTATCTTACTTTATTCTGGTGTGGATGCTAATATTGCTAAACTAGTCTGACTCGTAACAGCAGTCATTACAGGAGCCTGAGCAGCATCCAGGTGTCCTTGTGCATTTGCAGTCTTTTCTGGTCATTTTTAATGAGTGTCAACCTCTGTGCCAGAAGTGGCTGGTTCTTGATTCCAGATTGACTGTCTCATAAAGCTTTGACTGACAATTCTGGCAAGTTATGGTATATGTCAGAAATGCCAGTTGGTGCATTCTTTAAAGAAAACCTATGAGTAACACTATGGCACTTTGCACTCTCAGAGAAGAATCTTAATTTTGGTACCAGGTGACACTGCCAGATGAGGCAGAGAGGCCGAGGCCATGGTTCTCTGGAACTTGGGGGTTCCTCCATCAGACTTTTCAGCTAAGGTTCAAGAGTGAGAGTGTGGGTAAGGTCAGTTAGAGGAAAAGCTCTGTTAGGGCCCTTATCTTTTCTAAGGGCATTCAGTTGTGCTGCCAAACAATGCAGCCCATTGGATTCCTGCTTGTCTGACTGCTGCATCACCATCTTCTTTTTCTTTCTTCAGGTTATTTCCAGGACTTATTGAACAAGTCAGAAAAGGCCCTTTATGATGCTTTTCCAAGCATGTATGGAGAATTGTACACTCAAAATATGAAGGTCTTCAAGGACTTGTACAGCGAGCTACGCCGCTATTACCGGGGCTCCAACATAAACTTGGAAGAGGCCCTCAATGAGTTCTGGACACGTTTGCTGGAGCGGCTGTTCAAGCTGATGAATCCCCAGTACCATATCACAGATGAGTACCTGGACTGCATGGTGAAACATGCGGAGCAGCACAAACCCTTTGGGGAAGTTCCCCGGGACCTGAAGGTGAAGGCAACCCGAGCCTTCATCGCAGCACGCTCCTACGCACAGGGTTTTCTAGTGGGCAGTGACGTGGTCAAAAAGGTGTCTCAGGTATGTCTGGATTCTCTCTTCTCCATTCTCAGATTGACAGGAGCCAGTCAACTACTGCTGTTGGGGAGAGGGGGCTTTATTTCCCCTTATGTTTTCATTACAAAGCAAGCAGGTATTTTTCAGTTTTAAAAAGCAAACTGCTTGAAGATCACCTGTCAGTAGAAGGGAGTAGCAAGTCTGGAGTTCTGCAGGAACTGATAGCGCAGAAGCAGCAAGGTATAACTCACTGCCATCAGTCTTTACCTCATTTTGACTTAGGCAGCAGAGTGCCAAGGAGATGTCAGTCGCCTAGGCTGTAAAGCTGTTCAGGTGCTTGCCTGGATTCCTTGCTCTTCCCCAGCAGGGAAATGGCATGTCTCTAAATCACGCTGCCTTACTTTCCTTCTTGATGGTGAGGTGTTGCAGGGTGTGCAGAGCTGACTGTCACGAGTGTGCTGGGAATAGTTGCAGAGAGATGCATTTCAGTGGTTGGTGATGGGATTGCTGTGTCTGTTTATGTAGGTCTGTATATTTGTGCAGAGAAGGTGAGTTTGTAAAGTACTTTGGGATCTTCAGGGATGAAAAGTGCTATATAAATGTAAATTAACATGACTGAGCCCAGGGTTGCAGGAGAAAGGAAATTGTATTCTTTACTGTGGAAGCACCCTTTCAGAGCCAGAAGGAGGTGATTGTTCTGAAACAAGGTACTCAGGCAGGATTACACCAGTAGCAAGGAGAAAATCCATATTCAAAAAATTACTTTCATACTGCATGTGGAGATGGGAATAAGCAGGGCATTATTAAACTATGAATGTAAAAATGCAGAATCACAATTAATTTCCTCAGCAGGTAACGTAAGGTAATGCAGAGCAGAGGGTGGTACTATTTGATAAGTCACATCCAGACTTTGATCTTGAGAAGAAACATTAATGTGGTAACAGTGACAAATGTTTTAATTTATTAATGTGGGACTAAAAACTGTTCAGTTACCCAAAAGCCTTTGTTAATCTCATTAACATCACACTCTCCTGACACTTAAAACAGATAAAAGAGGAGAATGGTGTATTTTCAAGGGGACTAAAGTAAAATATTTTTCATAAATCCTCTGAATAGCAGAGATTTCCACCTCCATGTGCATGATTGTGTCTGTAGCCAAGCTTGGTGGTTAAAGCAGGCTGGCAGAGCAGCTGCAGTCATGGTATCAGTGGAAGGGAAGTACCTGGGATACCAATATAGTATATTCTTCCCACACTTTCAGGTAAGCTTCTGACCCCATTGCATTTTGATTCCAGCCCCCCTTTTCTGAATTCTTCTCCTTCTTTTGGCATCACTTGTCAAATGGGATGTGAGGTGCACAACCACAGAACCTCCACTTTTCTCTGCCTCCACCTGACCCGTTCCTCCAGGATGGAAGGTCTTCCAGGAGGATCCCAGCCATTTCTCTCTCACAAGAGCCCTGCCTGGGGTTGCAGTTAACCCAGCATGTTGCTGTTACAGCAAAATCTGCTTGAACCAAGTTGGGAAACCTCAGCAAAGCTTCCCTGAGAGCTGATTTTTGTTACAAAGGCTAAAACTGGCCCTTTTTCCCTGTCTTTAGGAATGTGTTTAGTACTTCAGGCAAGAAGGGGTGAGAATGCTGAGGTGGGAAATCTGTTTTATGGATACCCTGGTAGCCCTCAGCTATGGCTAAAATAAAAGGCCTGGTTCAGCCACTTTCCTTTACCAGATGTGGATTTGCACTAGTGCCAAATGGATGTGAAGTGCTGAATGCAATCCACAACTCGTGCTTCAGTTTTAGTGATTTTTCATGTTGCTTTCTACTTGCAATTTTAGGATAAAGTGTGTAAGACTTCTGCTGAGATTAGAGACTGGGATTTCCTGTCAGCTGATAGCAGCTAACTTTAAAATAACCTTTTCAGCTGAAATTTCCTGGGGAGCAGTGTTGAGTGTTTTGGTCAGGAAGTCTGGGGAAAAAAGCCCATGGAAATGGACACATAGAAATAAATTACCTAGCTTTCGCACTCTGAAAAATGATTACTTTGAGTTTATTTATTTGCAATTCCCAGAAAAGCTACTGATTTCCATTAAAATCGTCCTGATTTCATCTGCTCACATACGTATAGCTCAGTGTTTGTGATCTGTTCCCTGTTACTGGTTCAGGTCCTTGTACAAAGACTGTATTACTGGACTTCCTAGAGAAAGAATGGTGCTGTTTGCCAGATTTTCTGGCTCTCTTAGATGGAGCAGGGTCTTCTGCATTTTGAGCTACCAGTGGGGATTTTTAGAGTTTTCTTTAATCTCTGCTGCTTCTCCACTGTGCTTAAGGGGCCTTTCTTTCCCAGCCTCTGACTGTCCAATCTCATAGGAAGACATCCCCTCAGGCAGCCCTGGGCTGGGTATGCAGGGACAGGAGTGGGGTGCTGGAAGAGCCCTGCAGGATCTACATGTGGGACACAGACAGTGTGTCCCATGGGTGCTGGTGTTGTTGGCAGAGGTGGGGGTGGGATGCAGTTCACCACAGCCAGGTAACAAACAACAACTGGCAGATCTTACCGGTTTTCTTTTTTTTTCCCTACTGTCATTGCAAATCACCAATATAGCTTTCTGAAAATGAGCACTGCCTTTGCTGTAAGTTCCTGCTGCTCCCAACCCAGCAGCAATTCTTAGGGTGGAAAATGTCACAAGTACCACTTACAGGTCTGTGTTCAGGAGGTGGAGGTGGAGGACTAAAGTCCCAGGAGCTGAGAGCCTGTGGCACTTCAGACACCTCTACCTGTGAACACTATCTTAGACTATGGGCTGAAATAAGCTCTGGCACCCTGAGAGATGAGCTTCTGCACTCACTTCCTCCTGCTTGTGCACAGCCACTGAGACTAGCCCTGCCACAGTGCCTGCAGGTTCAGGTGTTTTACAGCACTGCTGCATGTAAAGCTAGGGAGAGAGTTTGGCAAGGAAGTTAGAATTGTTTGCGCAGATTCAGATTGAGCTGGATGGGAACCATACAATGTTGAACACATCCTTATGTATTTCAGATCCTATTTTCCATTATTTCTCTCCAGTATTATGTTTAAATCATAAACCTTCTCAGGGGTAAAATCCCATAGGTGTTGTGAATATATCTACTTGCCTGCGTTATTTCTATTCTATGTCTTTTATATTTACCTGGTATTTAAAAGTCAATTGAATCAAGTTTTCAAAGGATTGAAAATTGTACCAGCTGGAAATAACTGCATTAGATGAACAGGGCAGGGAGAGTGTTGAATAGGCAGGTGGTGACTTGCCAAATTTTCCTCTGGAGGGAGAGGAGCATGACAACAGTCTCTATCCATATAAATCTTCCTCATTTAAATATCAGAAAGCTAACTAAGCACTAGACAGGAATCCAAAGGCGCACATCCCCGCAGTTAGCTGTGGGTCCTGCCCTTGGGTCTGGTGTCCCTCACAGGCTGCACTGCCGTCTGGAGTCATCCTCATTACTTGCTACAGAGGGAGCTGGGGCGAGCTCTACTCTATGTTTGGCTGGATTGCCCTATTTTTATTTTGTTGTTGTTATTTTTTTAATTTTTATTTCTTTTTTCTGAGTCTGCAAAATGGCCGTTTGGCTGCTGGGCTGGAGGGGATGGACCCAGGCAGTCTGTTTGCTCCAGGCTTAGCACCAGCTCTGGTTTACTGGAGCACGAAGGGCACAGATTTGGCATCAGCTTCCATCCTCTATGTCCCTCACCCTGTGCTGAGCTGCATGCAGTGAGGTCAAAGCAAGAGGGTCACCAAAGTGCAGGGTCTTTACCCTACCCCTACCACTGAAGAGTGGCACAATCGCCACCCAGGACCCTGCATCCTGCTTGCTTTGTGATCCCTCACAGAGGGTTTGGAAACAAGCTTGATGTCTCTTGAGTGATGGGTTTGGTGAGACTTAAAACTCACTGTGCTTCAAGGACTCGTGGCTGTGCATTTGTGGAAGGAAGATGCAAAATAATGATTGAAGTGATTATACAATTCATTAGACTTTGAAAGAATCATATTTCTGTCAGCCCTGCAGCTGTTTCTTTTAGAGTTTTATCCTGAAAGACTGGAAAGCTTGGTTCGTTTAACACACGTCAAGGTGCTAATTACATCAAGGCTGGCATAAATATGCACAAGACAGCTGCTGACCATGTGGTGGAGAGAGCAGGGTCTGTTCCCTGCGACGGCAGAGGACTGGGAGCACCTGCAGCTCCTGCTTCCTTCACCAGGAAAACCGGGCACTCACAGCCTGGTGAACAGAGCAATTGTAGCCCTGATTTCCAGCTTCCACACATGGAGATGCAAAGAACAGTACAGCCCTGCTTTTTTTAGCCTAGTATTTGAGAGTCCTTCTGTGGATTGTAGAAATGAAATGTTTCCCAACGTGGACTTGCCACGTTGCAGGTTGCCCTGACCACAGAGCAGTCCAGCTCCCTGGTGAAACACCAACCTGTCCCTCCAGTGCTGGTCTTGTTGCCAAGAAAGGGCAGGGCTGGCTTCTGAGCCTGTTGCTGGGATGCTGTTTGTCCCACGGGCAGCTCGGCAGGGCTCCTCACCACTGGCCCAGCAGGACCCACTCCCCCACTTGGCCTCATTTTTATAGCTGGTTTTTCTACTAACAGCTTGATCCCAACTGTGCAATTCCATCTGAGGGGTTTGGGATAATTGGGAATGGCTCTGAACACCCACCTGCATTTTCCACTGCATATAGCCTAATCTGTATATTGAAGAGCTGACCTTTTTTCCCTTAAATGCCACCCCAGAATGGGTTTTTCACAGCTGACAGGGAAAACTTGCCTTGTTTGTATCGCCTGCCTTTAAAATGCACATGAGAAGGTAAGCAAGAGTGCTATGAATGCCTTGGCTGCAGCTGCCTGCATAGCTGTGTTCAGCCCCCAAACCTGTGGAGGTGTCCAGCTGCCCAGGACACCTGCCTGCTTCTAGAAACCTGCCTGCTACCTGCTGGCTCTAAGGCATCCATGGGTTTAGAAGCCTAAGTTGCCTGATGTTGCTGGATT